GCTCACTTCATTTCAAAAGTTTTCTCTTTTGTTTTGAAAAGTGATAAAAATTAAATGGAGCGAATACAAAAAGCAAAGCCAAATAAAAGTAAAATAATCAACATTGAACTGCGACAAAATGAAAATAAGAGAGCACGAATTTCGATGTGAAGCAAAACTCTCGGGGAAGACAATACCTGTAATTATTATACCATGGTTAAAAGCAAAATTCAATTTGAAGTTCAAAACACTAGGCGTACTTCGAAAAAAAAGGCCATTGCTGTCGGCCAATGTTGCGTTGGCGTTTTAAGAAAGTATACATATTCATGTACATAAATATGTATGCTTGTACATAATCAAATAAACTTTCAGGTCTTCCTTTAATTTTCGTTGAAATTGAGCGTCAATTATTCCAACAGCCGCCTTCCAAAGAATTCATGTATAATTGCAGTAGCTACTAGAATTCAATTTTAAGTACCAGAAGCAAAAAAATGCGACAGCTATGCTAATTGGCCAAGTTTTAGCAATTGCTCACTAAAGCTCACGGCGCATAGTGCGTAATTTGGGTGATTTAGAGCAGGCTTTCCCAAAGTGGGTGCCGCGTATGCCTGAGGTGCCGCTAGTGGCAGCAGCTTCGCTTCGCAGTGAAGACAGCACTTTGAATATTAAATACTACGAAGGGAGCCAACAGAGTTCTGGATGCAAGTGTATGCAGAATACACTGCTGTTGGCAAGATTGCATTCAAAATACTAGTCACTTTTACTTTTATATTTCTATATCTGCTAGCGCTGCTTTTTCATAAGTTGTATAATGATTGTTATTATTATATAAGCTTTCTTAAAAAAAATAAAAATAAAATAAAATATTTCTATACGAGACTGCGTTTTCAACAAATGCTTACATAAACAAGTAATTTTTAAGCAAAAAACAAAACCGACTTTAATTCCCATGATGCAATTATCGGATTTAAACCAAATTAGAATAGGACCACCTTTCCTTTAAAAAAGAATTATAGTAATCGGTTGACGTGGTCCAAAGTTATGCGGTAGTATACATAAAAAAAATAAAATTTTAAAAAAATATTCCGACGAATTGATAACCTTCTCCTTTTTGTGAAGTCGGTTAAAAACAAATACACCAGCAAGCTTTCAGCGTCAAATGATTTCAGGGTAAAACTGTCATAGCTGTCATCGAAACAATTTCAGTCCTCATATTAAAGGTAAAGGAGCTTAAAGTTTGCATTGTGTTTTCTTGGTTTCTTAGACCTCTGAAGAGTAGGGGTGCCGCGAAACTTTTTTAGCACAACAAGGGTGCCGCGGTGAAAAAGTTTGGGAGCCCCTGGTTTAGAGGATGGAAAACCGAAAATCGAAGTTGGTAAAAAAAGTTGATATAATAGAAAATCGGTCCCCAATTGTTTGAAGATAAGCTGGAAGAATGCTGAGCTTGTACAAACATGCCTGTTTAATCGAACGATAATCGCCAATTTTCCGGCCTTTATAAATCAGTGGTCCTATCCGTCTCATTTCCTAACGCGATTACAGTCTTGGGTATACTTTTCGTTTTACACAATGTAAACTTAAGTAAAAACATTATTTTGCAATTTTAAATGCCATCTTTACACATCAATTGCGCTCCTTTAGATTTGAAAAAAGGGGTTTAATTTTTTGTGTATTTTTGGCGACAAAAATTTAGTGATTGGGATTTTTCTCCTGTTGGGTTCGGGGTGGGAGCGAAGAATGCAGGCGCCAAGGCCAATTTATACAAGGTGGTGTTGATGGCGAATTTAGATTTTCGCCGCCCTACTTATTAATGTCGAAATGATGTGTTTGTTGTAAACCAGGCGAATTCATATTACAACAAACACATCATTTCGACATTAATAAGTAGGGCGGCGAAAATCTAAATTCGCCATCAACACCACCTTGTATAAATTCGCCTTGGCAGGTGCCATCAAATACCTGCTATGAGCGCTCGCATACGAAACATCGTAAGAGATATATCGCTTGCGTAGACCGTTTATCGCAGTAGATATACGATATAAAATACGAGGTATCGCATACTTCTTGTCGCATATCTGGGTTTAAGTTTAACAACTATTTTATTCATATTTTATTTAAACTCCGAGTAAGAAAGATGTGGTGTAATTCGGAGAAGTGCTGTTAAAGTACAACCCACATTTATAAAACATTAAAAAATATTCGCACTGAAATGGTATGCGAGGAAATGCCAACGTTCAAAAATTTATCTACGGTAAGATCTCGTATGCGAGAAAACTAACAGTTCGTATGCGAGCGCTCATAGCAGATGTAGATGTGTGGTAAGGGAGAGAAACACAAACAATAATTAAATTTTTTAAGCTTATATTCATCTTCTTCATCCATAGAGCTTTTCTTTGTGCTCCAAATGTATATTTTTTGCATCAGACATTTCAATTTCCATATAAAACAACATATATATATAGTGAAATATTTGTTGCACATAGTGAATAGCCTTAATATTGCTTATAAAATAAAGTTAAATTCTTCGATATGCGAAAATAGCCAAATACAAAAAAAAGTAAATCTTAATTTATGGAAACACTGAAATGTATAGACCCGAAATTGTTTAAATTTGCACTACAATAAAATCATACAATTCAATGCAAATTTAAAATGAACAAAAGTTAAATTTTTTGTATGGAATTAAGATTTGTGTTAACTTCCAAATTATGCACTTGGCAAAAAATTTCACGTATTNTCGTATTCAACTGTGGCTAAAAGTGGTAAATGTGGGCCTAGCCCCTCAATTTTATACTAAGTGAGTACTTTTGTATATCATCGACAGCTTTTTGTTTATTACTATGTCGCAAATTTTAACGAAATCGGTCCATATATACGGGCTTTCAAAATATTTCGACCCCGGGGGCACATAATCGTTAAATTTTTGGCACAAATATTCCTGCATATGCAACCAATATACTTTGAAAAAATAAACCAGATTCGTTCATAAATAACATAGTACACAGATATATAACTATTAATTTTTAGTAACTAAAAAATAATAATTTCTAGAGTCAAAATTGTGGGCGCTATGATTTTCCTTACCCTAAATCGGCGAAATTACACTGTGCGGCGCACGCCTTTGTCAAACAACAAACAAATAAACTGCCAATGTTAAAAGTCATGTCAAGTAACTAGAGGTGCGCCATTGCCCAAGGAGCAATAACATTTGGCCTGAATGTTGATGGTTGTCTTTGTTGACAATGAAGGTGCCGATAAGTATGCTAACAAGGAGTCAATTGTTTTCATTGCTGAGAGCAGTAAGTAAGAGAGAAGGAGGGAGGGAGGGCACAATTAAAAACAATGGCATACTTGTCTGCTGTTAGTCGCACCATTTAGATATGCTTCATGCATAGAGGAGAGGCAGATTTGTACAGCAATTATTGGTGTTTTTTGATGTGAAACATCTTTGCCTGCGGTTTGAAGTCGACTTGGTGTATTTTTTTTAAGGAGAATGTTGAAACCAATGCTAATACGTATGCGCCCTGTTGCAGGGTTTACAAACATGTAGAAACACTAGTACTAGGCCTATTTCCACGAAATGTCAAAACTTGCCCAAGTGACCTGTTCGATTAAAAATATGCCGCAAAATCATGTTGACAGTTCAATCGCTCGAGAAATCCCTAAAGGTTTTAAAGCTAGTGATGTGCTGAATTGCCGGTACCCAATACAATAATATACAGAGTAAAAATGTATCAACTGGGACGCTCAAAATTTGAAATAATTATCCATCGATTATTTTATTAAGTTTAGATAGGTATTTGGCTCTAGTGCAAAACGTGGTCCAAAGTCATGCGGTAACATACATAAAAAATATAGAAATATTCCGACGAACTGATAACCTCCTCCTTTTTCGGAAATCGGTTAAAAATATAACCACTTAACGATAACCTGATAACCAGACAGGTGTGAGCACCTACAATGTGTTTTCATCCCCTTTAAAATATAACTTATTTTTTGTGGCATATTTTTAGGCGAAATCGTTATGACAGTAGTCACGAGTTATATAATAAAATTATGCTCAAATACTTACATGTGTATTGATACATATGAATTTCATCGGAAATTATATGGAAGTCAATGATATCAATAAAAAAAACGAAACATAATTTTTATTTATCTGACGCCAGTGTCTATAAACAAGTATATCGATATTATCTATAGATTAACTGATAACATTGTCGCTAGATATATCGATAACCGTTAATTTATTATTTTATTTCCGTTTTTCTTTTGCAGTTTGTTTCTATATATGCCGCTTACCTCTATGATTCCGTTAAGCTCTATGCCTGGGCATTGGATAAATTGCTGCGCCAGGAGGAGCGCATACTAACGGATGATGTGATATACGATGTAGCTAGTAATGGAACTAGAATAATTGAGACTATTATCAAAAATCGTACTTATAGAAGTAAGTATGAGCTCCGAAAAATATTACAAATCAAAATTTTTAACGACTATCTATAATCATTAGCAGAGACTTTTTGGTGACGCTTGAACACATTAAAATGAAAGCTAGACACAAATTTTCGTTAGCTTAAAAAGCGATCGTACATGTTTTTGTAATATTAAAAACGCAACATAAATTTTTTGCAATTTAAAACAACTAAAATTGTATGTCCAGCTTTTAAAGGACCAAAAATTATGGTCCTAATTTTAGAAGGCCAAAAATTATGCCCAGTAAATTAACAAATATGGCCATATATCTAGTTTTTAAATTGACCAATTTTTTAATGATCGAAAAATTTATGTCCAATTTTTAAATGACAACAAATTTTTATTGGCCAAAAAATATGTCCAGTTTTTTCATGATAAAAAACGTATGGCTTTTTAAATAAACCAAAAATTATGCCCAGTTTTTGAACCAGCAAAAATATGTGTCCACACTGGACTGGCGTTCAGATTTGAATGATAAAAATTTTACTTATGTCCAATTTTTATTAACCAAAAATAATGCCCAGTTTTTCAATGATGAAGAACTTATGGCCGTGGACGCCAGTCCAGTGTGGACACATATTTTTGCTGGTTTAAAAACTGGGCATAATTTTTGGTTTATTTAAAAAGCCATACGTTTTTGATCATGAAAAAACTGGACATATTTTTTAGCCAATATATATATATATGCACATTTACTAGATATTCATTATGTACATACTTATAGCTTATATAAAATAAAATTTACACTTTTACTTGTCTTCCTTCCAATGTCAATCAGGTATCACTGGTGCCACGATTAAAATAGACCAGAATGGTGATTCCGAAGGCAATTTTTCAGTACTGGCATATAAGCCACACAAACACTATTTTAGTGATAATGTATCCTGTAATTCTCATATGGTGCCGGTGGCCTATTTTCAACAAGGCGAAGATATTCCAGTGAGTGAGTCGTCATTTTTTTCGTTTCTTTTATTATTAGTTTTCCCTTTTTAGTGTGAATAAAATGTATGTAATTATGTACATACATAAATCCACTCTAAGCCCGTTCATTTGTCGCTTAAAATTATTTTTTCTTACTTTTTTGCCACACCACAGGAATACAAGCTTATCAATGGCTCTGTGCGCGTTGATTGGCCATCGGGCGGTGATCGTCCCTTTGATGAGCCGATGTGTGGCTTCGCCAATGAGCTGTGCAAAAAGGACGATCGACATATCACATCTGTAGTAGCGGCTGGTGTACTTGGCTTACTGTTATTCTGCGCTGGTGTCATCACTATGAGCATTTATCGAAAATGGAAAATCGAGCTGGAAATTGAAGGTCTATTGTGGAAAATTGACATATCAGAGATAAAGGGGTACTCGGGGAATGATATCGTCTCATCGCCAAGCAAGGTGAGTGATGGTAGTGCAAAAAACCGTATTGAGGACATGCAGAAGCATGCTATTTACAGTACGTGTATGCTTTACAGGGCGATTCTCGTTAAGATAGTAAAAAGTCTTTCGTAAGACAAATGGCAAGATAGTTAGAAAAATATTTGTTATTCTGGCACAATAGTCTTGGAAAAAAGCTCTCTCGTTCACCATTCGTGGTGAAAAGTTATTTGGTTATATTTTTTGTTTTTATATCATTCAACGCTGTGGCCGAGTGAACGTGCCATTCCAGAGATCTGAGTTCGAGTCTAGGTCAGCGATATTATTTATTTGTATTTTTTACTTAAATTTTTTTTTAGATATTGTTTCAATAAGAAAAATATCATTTTTTTTGTTTTAGAAACTTATTTTATTTTATTTTTTTTTATATAATTTTTCTATTAATTTCCAAAAAGAATATTTTTTAATTTCATCACATTTATAAGAACTAACTTTATTTTGATCTTTATTAAATATTATTATTCTTTTTTTAGTTTTACTTTCTTTTAATTTTTAGATTTTATTGTTATTAAACGATTTTTTTTCTATTACAATTAAATTTTTTGTAATTTCATTTGTTTTTTTGTTATTCATTATTTAATTTATATTTTAGGATCTTGATTTTTTACTATTTGTCTTTTTTAATTCAATTATCTTTTAATTTTTAGATTTAGTTTTAAAAAGAAAAATACATTTTATGTTTTTTACTTTTAAGTTTTGTTTTCGTCTTTTTTGATTTATTTTTTAATTAAATTTATTATTTAATAGTTTTCGAAAGCGTTTTTTTTTTAATTTCATTCAAATTTCTAAAAATATTTTTATATAAATTTGCTTCGTTTTCATTTAATTTTTTATTTGCTTTTGTTTTACTTATTAGTTCTTCTTGTTGTGAAAGGAAAAATATACATACATATACATATATTTAATTTAATTTAATTTTTAAAATACTTATTGCTTAAAGGCCAATAGCATAACGCTAAGATTTTTCAATTAGTCTTTCGAAAGACCGTAAAGAGCTTTTAATATAGTTTTTTCAGAATTGGAAATCATCTTACGAAAGACTGATGAGTCAAAAGACAGTTGCCTGTTGAATTGTCCTGTAAGAGTTTTGTATGGTACACGCTGGCGTATGTGCAACCTTTAGTTTATTTTCGCTCCTATTTACATATCGACCGTATTTTGGCAAAACCTCGTATCTCAGACATCACTACTACTTCGTATCTCGCAAAATTAATTTAAAATAGGCTGGGATATGCTACAATTCATTATACATATATTATTCTTAATTAAATAAAAAGTATTTAATCTTTAATATTCAGTAGAAAAAAAGTTATTAAAAAGATTTTCTGTTATTAATAGAGATTCTTTTTTGTTAAAGATATGAGGTTTTGAAAAAGTACCGTCGATATGTACATATGTATGTATGTATGTATTTTGTTACATCATTATTTGAGTAGGCCTATACTCAAAAAAAAAGTCAGCTAAATATATTTCTGTAAACACATGCTTTGGTAACTATAACCAAATAATGTAACCATAACCGAATAATGTGTTGAGAGAAAAATATTTTGTTGACATAACTAAACTATTTTCTCAGTGTAAATGATTTCATGTGCTTAGAATGATTCTCCTGTAATTTTAAATTGGTTAATGAAATAATTTTTGATTTATGTATGTTGCTCACAGGCTATGAATAAGCTTTTACCGTAGACCCTACGAAGCTATCGTACAACAGCATTAATTTACATACATACATAAAGAAAGTTGGGCGAGAAAACCGTCTAAATTGCTCTCAAATCCTGGCCATTCTACTTGGAGTTTTTCATTTAGAGGAAAACCGATTAATTTTTAACCGGCTTAAGAAATTAGATAGGTTCATCGGAATATTTTTTTATGTATGCTACGGGATAACTTTACACCACGTCAACCGTTTTCGACAATTTTTATCGAAAAGGCTAGTCCCATACTAATTTAGCTTAATTTCAGTCTTTGTATCGGTACTCCTATATTTTTATATGATTAAAAAAAAATCGGATCCAATATCTTTTTTTTCAAAAATGCTGTAAAAACAGATTCGCAGCTATACGCCTTAAGTAATCGTTACATAAACTTGCTTAGCAATACAGCTTTTATTGTAGTTCAATTAAATTTAAATTAATCCGTTGCGACAACAGCCACTCTTTGCGATTTCTCTCATATCTTTGTTCTACTGTTGTCCTAACCAATAAATATTTACGCATCATGGCCGATTTCATTGTCAACAGTTTGTCGATTGAGTCGTGGTAAATGGAAATTTTTTACATCTTCTGCTTGAATACGCTCCCAGCTTCATTGCCTTCACGCACACACGTTGCGATTCGGCCTCTCTAGGAACGTGACAATTTTGTCGCACCGTTGCTAGAGGCGATGCACCTCAATACAAATCTATGTACATATGTGTTTGTGTAAAAAACATACATATGTATGTATGTATGACTATGTAAATTTGTTTACACGCGTACATGCACCAAGAGGCACTTATGTAAATTGCGCACAGCAATTTCGGCTTTCTGCAGTGTGGCAGCGTCCAACAGCCTAGGCCTGCAGCAAATAGATCTGTTTACTCGGCAGCTAACCAAAAGAAAAAGAAAACGACGAAAATTGCATTCACATGCAGAACGAGTCTGTGTGTAAATTCAACACGTTGTGGGCGTCAATGCCGTAAGCCTTCCAACCTAGCCCCTTTCTCACAGGTTCGAGAATTTTTGTTGGCTATGTGCGAACGTGCAATTCAAAGTAAATTTACATAAGAAACCATGGGTCTAAAATCAATTTGGAGTTGGCCAAATTACGAAAATAGGTTTCGAAGAAAATGTGAAAATTTTTACTGTTGCGCCCTCTGGTGGAAATTGAAAAAAAAAGTACAGAAATGGATTCCTCATATCAAAAAACTCCTTATAGCATATTTTTATACAAAATTTAAGCACATCTTTACGACTCTACAGCAAAATGACAAGAAACCTATCTTCGCAATTTGGCAAACTGCAAATTGATTTTAGAGCCATGGTTCCTTCTGTTCTATACACTCATAGTCGAAAAAATCTCCCCATACAAAGTGACCCGCCGTAATATATTTACATAGTTTATGGTTGGTTTAAAAACTGCATATATGGGAATGCTTCGTTAATTAATAACTGAACGATAAATCAATTGTCAGTATATTTGCAATATCGATAATTAACAAATGTAACAAAAAAATTGAATCTGCCTTATCCTTAGTATCGCCTGGAAAAAATTCACCCGAAAATTTGTCATCCGCCCATGTAATACCATGGAAACCAAAAGTGAACCAGTTCGGAGAGAATGAAACTCATGATAAGGTTGAATAATTTAAAATAAAGCTGTCAATAATATTATTGTGGTGACATCGATAAATATAACGATTATGAGAAATTCGAATTCAGATAAAATTGGTACAATGACTTTGATAAAAAAAATTTACAGCACATGGAATTTAACGATCTCCATAACTTCATTCATATCAACTTCGATCACCATATTGATAAACATTTAGTCTGTTTCTTTATTACTCATATTTCTGACTAAATTCTGTAAACAGAACTAGTAAAGGAACAGACTAATAAAAATAAAACTGCAATATCGATATAGAATACTAGGGTGTATCACTCTCCATACAAAAAAAGGATAGCGTTTTTGGTAGTGTCCGACCGAACTCGATTTTTTGGCCGAAACCGAACGCTCGGTTTTTCCACACTCCACACTGATTTTTTTCTAAATTCACTTGTTTATTGTGTTTCATTAAAAATTAGGCACATTAATATTTTATTTTTAGCACTTAAAATTAAACAATTTTATATTCGGGAAGGTTCTGCAATTCACTTCCGAGTGAATTTGAACCCCTGCCAATTTGAATTCAAAGCGCACTTGACTCAAATTCACTCGGAAGTGAAATGCAGAACCTGTCGGATTGTAAAATGAATATAAAAGTTTATTCGCATTTTCACCGCTCGGTCGGACACTAGTTTTTGGATTGGAACTATAAAATTTATTGTACTAGAGTTCACTGTTTAAGGCAAAACTGCGTACGTTTTGATCGAAAGGGGGGAAAATGGAAAATAGTCGACAGTTTTTTACAATAAACATATGGTTTCGCACTTTTATTTTCGCACACATGCACAACTGGAACCCTGACTGTAATGCAAAGGCGAAAAAACTGTGCATCGCTTCGGCAGTTAAAACGACAGCACAAACGAAGTGCAACGAATATTTGAGACCGCGTTGCGTCTGAACTGTCTGAAATTTCGCAGCCAAAGCAAAAACTCTGTTCACGCTTCACGCATCGAAGAGTGAACTCTAGTTATATTTTAAGATTTTTGCCAAAATATTTCATACATGAGAAAATCTCACTTTTACATTTTTCCACAAAAACGTGTTTTTGGTGGATAATGGTGGCGCATTTATCTTAGACAATGCATTATCTTTAGTTTTGCATAAAGTACTCTATCGCGAAATTTAAAATGAAAACTTAAAGAATATATATCTACTAAAAAAAAGTCAAAATAAAAACTCGTTTTCATATACACGTAGTTTTGTATGTAACGTATACGCCCGGTAGCACCATACACAGTCAGCTATCGTGTTCACTCGCACGTCTTAACTTAAAAGTCATTTTAATAAAAACTAATTAAATATTGGCGTAGAATATTTTTCTAAAGTAAAGATAGGCGTTTTTGAAAGGAATTCTGAAACAGGGCATTCTTCAAACAAATTCTGAAAGAAGGCGTTCTTGAAAAGTTTTTTGAGATAGGGCGTTTTCGAACTGGCTGCCAAGATAGGTCGATCTTCTACACTCAGCAGTCGATATGTGCTAAGAAATTAGAATGTAGAGACCTTTCCACAAAAAAAAAATCTTGCGTTTAGTTATATATCTCAATTATATCAGCAAATCTAAACTCTGGTATTGATGGTGCTAGCCAAAGCAGAGAAAAATACAGAAGACACTTTGCTGTAAAATTTCGTTTGTGTAACATACGATAATTTTGCGCAAAGGTGTCGATATAATAATTTCTTCATGTATATAACAAATTCAGAATGAGTTTCGAGTGTGCCAACAAAAACTGTAAAATTGTAATTTTTAGTTTCGCAAATCATCGTCATCTTATAACCACTAGGCACACTAGTTTTATTACTCTAGTTTGGTTAGTTTTCGCAAGAACATTTTCACCGTTCAATGTTGGCTTTTTGAAATATATTAAACTTTAAAATTGAAAATTATTAATATCAAAAATTACAAGATAGCTGCATAGATCTATGTCATTTTTTTTTTTTAATTTCATTGCCAACTTTCATTGCCCTAACATGAACGTCTATTTGAAATTTCCCAACGTTATAAAAAGAAGGTAAAATTTTCAAATACTTGATTTATTCTGTATTGTCTTGTTTCTGGAAACCCATTGATTGAAATAAATACAAAAGGAATGGTTTAGCTGAGAAAAGGGAACGACACTGAAAAAAACTCGTGAGATTTGGTCACATACGTGATTTGTCCGATTTGATAATAACTCCAAAAATCTCATTATTTTGATTTCGTTGATAATATGCTCAAATATTTTTATGCAGACCTTTTGAGTTTAAGCTCTTCTATCATCTGAGATGATTTTTTGGGAAATTCTTTTTTAAAAACTAATTTTAGTTATAAAAAAAATTGACTTGTGGAGGTGTCTAACGAATTTAACATGGCAATGTCATTGAAGCGTACCGAGAGGGTGCGCGCGTTTTGTCCTTTCGCTAGCGATTACCTGGTGCACAAGTGACCATTGCTAATCGTAGCGCATTGCCTAATGACCAGTTATGCATACGTCGCATAACCTGTCGCTAGCGAAACTTGGGTTAATATGGGTTTTGTTAGAGAAAGAACTATATTTTAATTGAGAATTCTTCAAAATAAATAAATAAACATAAGTGGCACACAATATCACTTTGAAATGGCGTGCTATAGATATGACCGATACTGTACGTATGTATTATACAACGATACAAATAAATCGTTAGTTATACCGCTATAATCGCTTAATCATATACACACATGGCGATGAATATACCGATAGCGATAGTCGATAATTTTTCATCAATAACGAGTAAATAATTCAAGTAAAAAAATTTTGCTTAAAAACAACATTTCTTACAAGAAACTCGGATGAACCATACTCACATTCATTTTCTTGTAACTCGTCTATGTATGTATGTACATATGTACCTTTTTCTACTATCCATATTTGTAGTTGCTTACCTCAGTCATATGATTCCTCATCGCTCACCACAGAAAAATACGATGAAGTTTTCTTCTTCATTGCTCGCTTAATTGCACAGACCCCATTAGCATCCACTTGCTGCAACCTTTGTCACCGCATCACTAACTCCTCTTGATTATCCTTTCTGATCTCGTTAACATGTCACTGCTGCTGCCATCAACCAACCAATCAACCATCCAACCTACTGATGAACACGAAACAAAAACACGCCGCTCGACAACAACCCACAACCAACCGTCAATCTGCAATCATTCGATGTCGCTCTAATGACCGCCCTAACGACAACCGCAATGTCGTCAATCGCCCTTCATTGCTGGCTCATTTGGCACGACCTCAACTCAATATGACGCGCTCGAATGCCTATAAATGGTGTGCATTGTTCGGCAATGTCAACAACAAAAATACATTTAACAACCGCAACAAAAACAACGCGCCGGCAAACAGTTGAGCTTAGTGAGTGCCCAATCGTTTGGTTCACGTTGCTCAAATCAAGTATTCACTTCGACGGCACGCCTACGCGGCGCTGTTGTACGCATCAAAGAGTTGAAGTTCCCACGGAAGCGGGACATCTCGCGCGAAATAATGAAAGAAATGCGTTTGCTGCGCGAACTACGCCATGATAATATAAATAGCTTTATTGGGGCTTGTGTGGAGCCGACACGTATACTACTAGTCACCGATTACTGTGCCAAGGGCAGTCTCTATGATATAATCGAGAATGAGGACATCAAGTTGGATGATTTGTTTATAGCTTCGCTGATACACGATTTAATTAAGGTGAGTATTGCATAGTGTACTTAACGGAGATTTTCGTATATTAATCCTTCTATATTTTAGGGTATGATATATATACACGATTCGCAGCTGATGTACCATGGAAATCTGAAATCGTCGAATTGTGTGGTGACCTCTCGTTGGATGTTACAAGTAGCCGATTTCGGTTTGCATGAGTTGCGAAATTGTGCGGAGAGCGAGTCGATAGGAGAGCATCAGCACTATAGAAGTAAGTGTTGGAGGTTTAATTCATTAAACGCTGGGGATTTTGAGCGCTTAAAGGTGAAAAAATTGGCAAAATATACTTAGGAAAATATTGAGGTTTTCGAAAGTCTCGCAAAGGAGCGCGTACGGCAATATTACAATTTTTTGGTCATATAGACTTAAGCAGTACGCATTCTTTACCACAAGGGTGGAACTCAGAGTATTACAACCCTTTTAGGCTTAGCATAAGTATCGTTCTACTTCTCAACAGGCTTATAAATATTGGAGACGGTCAAACTATCTGGTGAATTTAAGTTTTCGAAATTTGAAGACTTGCTTGAAAGACCATAATGCTTATAGTTTTCCGTAGACATAATCAGAACATCAGAAACTTCTCGGCAAATTTTTTGCTATCTTAAATCTTTATTCTTTCGTACTATCCTTATACCTATAAAACTCACTCTTTTTTCTCAAAATTACCAGATCAATTTTGGAAAGCACCCGAATTGCTGCGCAATCCACACATGTATGGCACGCAAAAAGGCGATGTTTATGCCTTCGCCATAATTATGTACGAAATAGTTAGTCGAAAAGGTCCATTCGGGCAGGTAGCCTACGAACCAAAGGAAATTGTCGATCGCGTGAAGGAGCTGCCATTAGCTGGCAGTATACCCTTTCGTCCCGAGTTGGAATGCATACGCGAACACGAATTGTGCCCTGATTATGTGCTGGACTGTATAAAAGATTGCTGGAGTGAGGATCCGGAGATAAGACCTGATTTTCCGACTATACGGTAAGANGAGTTGGAATGCATACGCGAACACGAATTGTGCCCTGATTATGTGCTGGATTGTATAAAAGATTGCTGGAGTGAGGATCCGGAGATAAGACCTGATTTTCCGACTATACGGTAAGTCCGTCGATAAATAGTATTCTTGGTAAAGCTCAGCAATTTTAATTCTTACTTTTTTATACATACCTCCAATGTTCTTCTATTTTGTTTAGCAATCGTTTAAAGAAAATGCGTGGTGGCAAGACGAAAAATATTATGGATCAAATGATGGAAATGATGGAGAAGTATGCCAACAACTTGGAGGATATTGTGACTGAGCGCACGCGTATGTTGTGCGAGGAGAAGCGCAAAACAGAAGATTTATTGCATCGCATGTTGCCGCGCACTGTGGCGGAGAAGCTGACAATGGGGCAAGGGGTCGAACCAGTGTCCTACGATTTGGTAGGCGCATTTAAAATGATTCAACGCAAGGGACTCCAGTTTTTATATAGTTTTTTGTTTTCGTTTTTTTTTGTCGCAGGTCACGATCTACTTCAGCGACATTGTGGGCTTTACTGCAATGTCAGCGGAGAGTACTCCACTGCAGGTGGTGAATTTCTTGAACGATCTCTATACGGTTTTCGATCGCATCATACGCGGCTATGATGTGTACAAGGTGGAGACCATTGGCGATGCCTACATGGTGGTAAGTTTTATCTGTGATTTTCTACTTCATGCAAAACACCCGAATTTAAAAGCGCGTTCACCTAATATGATCATTATCTAATTTCCCTTAAAGGTCTCAGGTCTGCCAATTAAGAACGGCGATCGACACGCAGGTGAAATCGCTTCCATGGCACTGGAGCTGCTGCATGCGGTGAAACAGCATCGCATAGCACACCGTCCCAATGAGACGCTCAAGCTGCGCATTGGCATTCACACGGGGCCCGTGGTGGCCGGCGTTGTGGGTTTGACAATGCCACGCTACTGCCTCTTCGGCGACACAGTAAACACCGCCTCACGCATGGAGTCCAACGGCGAAGCGTTGAAAATACACATATCAGGAAAGTGCAAGGAGGCACTCGACAAGCTTGACGGCTATGTGACCGAAAGACGCGGGCTGGTGGCGATGAAGGGAAAGGGCGAGGTGGTCACATACTGGCTAACAGGCGCCACAGAGAAGGCCATACAGAAGAAACCCGTCGACATGACTGACATGCCGCCGCCTCTATTCTGCCGACCGCGCAAGAGCCCAAAGCTGAATAGCGATTCGCGGCAACCGAGCATCGTAGGCATGCACTACTATGGCGCTGGCTCGCGGCGCACATCGATGGTGCCACGCACCGATATCGAGTCCAATTATAGTTTGCAAGGTTCCACATATCATGTAGCACGCGATTCACCTTACCTGTCGTCGCGTCGTAACGATCGGCCGTCGCTGAATGGCATTGGCGGCAACAGCATACCGGAGCGAATAGCTACTATGGCGGCTACGGCGGTGCGGGCGCCAGCGGCGGCCGGAGTGGGAGTGTCGGCGAAACTTGCACGCTGCTCGAGTCGGCGCACGGTTCACGCAACACGCTGGAGCATTCCGAAAACGAAACGAACTGTGATAATGAGTGCGTAAATGGGTATGGTGCGGATGGTGATGGTGATGGTGATAATTATAGCGGTGGTGTTGGTGGCGGCAGTGGCGTGATAGGTGGCAGTGGTAGCGGGAGTTGTGGCATTGGCGTAGTGAGCATCATTGGTGGTGCGCTGCCGGTAAGCGCACATCGTGCGGCACACTCCGCTGCCAGCTCACCGAGCCACAAACCGCTTGCGCTAGTGCGTCCCCATCGCCGTATTATAAGCGAAAGGCTAGCCTCCTCACCCTCCGTACAAGAGTTCAGTGATATAAGTCGGCATCCGACGGTAGCGCAAACCATACTGCTGCGCGAGACACGCTCCCTCGACCCCATGCCAATGCAGTTGCGTAAGAGAAACGAGCCCGTCAAACTGCCGCCGTCCAAACTGTGTAAGAACAACTCGCGCTCCTTGGATGCCGTGGCGGCGCTCGGTGCGAGAGAGAGCAAAAACAACGATTCAGAAAACGCGAATATAAATGGTATAGAGTGTGACGAAGTCGTCGATGGTGTGGCCCCATTGGTGGAGCACGAAGCTACTGCGAACGCTGACACAAACAATATGGACGGCGAGGACTACGACGACGATGTCGGCCTGCTGATGCGTGATAATGGCGGCCTCCGCCGTCGNTAGAGTGTGACGAAGTCGTCGATGGTGTGGCCCCATTGGTGGAGCACGAAACTACTGTGAACGCTGACACAAACAATATGGACGGCGACGACTACGACGACGATGTCGGCCTGCTGATGCGTGATAATGGCGGCCTCCGCCGTCGCGGGCACAGTGGTAACCTACAACCGACTGTGGTGCCCGTCGCATCCACGCTGCTAAATCGTCGACGCAGTAGTGGGCACGTTATATCCGGCGGCAGCCTTAGTGTTGGTATTGGAGTCGCTGGCGGCATGCTACTGCCCTACAAGCACCTCAACAACAACTGCAATGGTGGCATGACCATAGAAGAAGACGCACAATCACCGTTGCTTCAACGACAGACCTCACTCACCAGCCCGCCCGATGAAATTCTAGCGCTTACGAAACGTTGGCGTTCACTGGAGACACTTGAAAATGTCAGAATCGGTGATGCAATGCTGGTGAACTCTAATAGTGGTCGTGGTATGCTTGGTGGCACCACGCACATCTGCGGGCACGCCGCGCACAACAGTGTCAGCTACGCGCCCGACATTGATGGGAGTCGTGCATCCGGTTCAGCGGCGACATGTGCAACGACAGCGACACGCAGCGGTAATACATTCACTACGTGGATTTGGCGCATCATACAGGGAAACAGTAAGCGGGCGAGCGAATCGTCGTTGCGGCGCGTGGTGCCAAGTGGTGTTCACGCGCCGCATGTGTTCACCGATATGCCCGCAGCAACGGCGGCGACGACGGCGCGTACGCGTGATCGAGAGAGCATTGTGTAGAGAGTTACGATGGTGGGGAGAAAATAGATTTTGATTTGTATTGTAATAGTATGTGTGGCGTGTTGAAGAGAAAAGTTTCAGGAGAGGGTTAAAAAATGGAAATTATACGTTTTTTTTTAGTTAGCTGAAATGAAATTGCATTGCGCCTTTTAGATCGAAGTAGTCGTCAGAAATAATATTTTTTTTTAGTTATATCCGCTTCATAACCATGCATAAAATGAGCTGCAGCTTCTGTCAGTAAATATTGTTTTTTCGTAATGCACTGAACCCAGTCGGTGATTCTGAGATATAGCTGCTCCTTTAACAGTTTCCTTTCAAGTGAATTTAAAACCTTTCTAAAATTATTTGCTAAATACTATTATGCACTTCATTTGACAAAAAAACAAAGATCGACTAAGTAAAAAGCGCCTGTATATGTTTATTAACTAGATTACGTACATATCTAGAAATATGTACATATGTAAAAACTCCTGGTTGAGAGGGGTTTTATAAAGCGAAATTTTCGAGCAACTTTCTCTGCTTATAACGAATATGTTTAGACTCAATATCAATTTTTTTTTAAATCCTCAAAAGAGGCCTTTGATCTCAAACAGAACACACGTATAACATTTTTATAGCAATGCTTAAATACATATTTTTTTCTATATACTTACAATTTCTTTGTATGTAATTATATACATATCATCTGTGCGCATATTTACATATATGTATTTTGGAATTAATTCACTCGCGGTGTCAATGGAGTTAATTCTCCGTTTTTTTTCACAAAATCCCAATTTCTATAATAGTTGAAACTCTTCACACATATGAACGCGAGAAAATACGTAGATAAACTGCAGAACTAAAAAAAAAATAAAACGAGCCCTAACTGCCAAAATCAAAATTTTCTCTTTGATGCAGAAATGCATCTAGATGCTCTGGGAGTATTCTGAATAAAAAAAATAAAAAATTGCTAAAAGTCGCTTATATCTTTTTGGCGGTTAGGGGTCCAAAATACACATAAATAAAAAATAAAACTTTTATAAATTTATCTAGTCAGCAGACACCAGACTAGTTTTGGTTATAACTTTTTTTTTTATGTAAAATAAAACTTAAAAAATATAAGTAAACACAAATGTAAACAACAACAAATGAGTTAACGCGCCACAAATGCTTTCTAATAGGTAAATGTGCAGTTAAATAAAATTTAGGAAAAGCGTAAGCAAGCAAATAAAATTAAGAAATATATATTTATGTATATTTTGTGAAAAAATATACTA